GGTCATCTCAGACAGAGGAACACAGTTTACCTCCCAGTTTCAGCGAGCCACCCACAGACCAATGGAAAGTCGGAAAGGATGTATCATTCAGGCTTTGTTTGCCCACCTCCATGAAGATACACTCTGTATTCCATAGGTCCTTATTGTCACCCGTGAACCCTGCACACCCGTATCAAGCGCCCAAGGAGGCACCCCCCCACACAACCAATCATTGTGGAAGGTGAAAAGGAATATGAAGTGCCACAGTTGCTGGACTCTGGCTGGAGGGGAAGGAGATTGCAATATTGAGTATCTTGGAAAGTTTATGGGAATGAGGGAAATTCTTGGAAAGGTTATGGGAATGAGGAAACTTCTTCGGAGGATTCCAAAAATGTGCATGCCCCTAGGTTACAGGTAGAATTCCACCGCAGGTGCCTCAGCAAGCCGAAACCCAGAAGGGTGGAGGGAGGAGGAGAAGGCAGTGGAAGAAGATGGCAAAAGTGAGGCTGAAGGGGGGGCAGCATAGTAGGGAACTCTCAAGAGGAGGAAGAAGAGAGTGAGAATGACTGGTGGGAAAACACAGACAGGGAGCCTCAGGAGGAGGGGGAGCAGGAGGAGGAGGATTATAGGGGAGGGAGTGGTGTTGTGAACACACCAGCCCAAAGCAAAGACATACTGCCTGAAATAGAATGCAGGCAGATGCAGATGGAGCAGAGAGGCTTGTATACTTCTCAAACAGTTGAAACAGGCGGGTTGTCTACCCCCCTCTTTTGAGAGCTGAAAGGAATGCAGCTTATCTGCTTCGGCAGAGCAGGCTGGAGGCAGCCAGCCCTCACAAGAAGCACAGTCATGCCCAGCACAAAGGAGAGTGAGTAGTTCCTCACAGGAAGAGGAGGCAACTAATACCATTAGTCCCAAAACTAGGTGAATAGGGACAGTCCTAGAAAGAAAACAAGCCCCAAAACATAAGGGTCAGAAGTTCAGGATATTCTGCAGAAACCGGAAGGGCTCTTCAGAGTCAACTTGACTGTGATGAACACATACTCCAATAGAGCAGTCAGAGACTAATTGCTGCTTGCAGTAAATGTACCAGTTAATTAAGTCTTGTGTGCTGTTATTAAGCAGGATGCCAGCCCACACCTGACAAAGGCACACGGGCACAGCACGGGCGTAGGAAGGGGGTGGGGTGGGGGCGGTCTGCCCCGGGGCTGACAAAGGGGGTGACAAAAAGGCAGACAGTGAGGGGCTTGCCTCGTCGCCGCCACACACTGTGGAATGGCTCATTGCCACACGCACGGCGGATCATCCTGCCCCCCCAGCTCGTCCCGCCCATGCAGCTAACTACGCCACTGGGGCGCAGATCACCATTCCAGTCTTCTTGAAGCAGCACTACTCCCAACGCCCTATTGGAGGCACTGGTCTCCACCACCATGCTGGGAGTTGGCATGGGCTAGATACTCCTCTGAGGTGAATACGGCCTTGAGTTGCTCAAATGCCTGCTGAGCCTCTGCTGTCCACAGGAAGGGTTTTATTTTACCCTCAAGGAGTCCGTAAGAGGCACCGTGAGCCTGGAGTAGCCAGACACGAACTTGTGATAGTAGTTTGTGAACCCCCAAAACCTTTGCAAGTCCTTTTTGGTTTTGATCTCCTTCCACGACACTACCACCTGCACCTTGGCCAGATACATGTGCATTTCACATGGCGTTATACGGTACCCCAAGAACTCTACTTCTGAGACGTGGAACTGGCATTTCTCCAACTTTGTGTAAAGGTAATGCTCTCTCAGCCTTCGTAGCTCTGTCATGTGACGTACATGCTGTTCTGGGTTCTCAGAATAGATCAGAAGATAACAAATGACCTGCATATCCACCAGGTTCTCCAACACATGGTTGATGAATGCTTGCAACATCACTGTCCCTGACTGAAACCCGAAAGGCATGACCAAGTATTTGAAACTGCCATAACTGCAGAATGTTGTCTTTCACTCATCTCCCTCCCTCATACCTATCAAATTGTAAAGGTAAAGGTAAAGGGACCCCTGACCATTAGGTCCAGTCGTGGCCGACTCTGGGGTTGCGGCGCTCATCTCGCTTTATTGGCCGAGGGAGCCGGCGTACAGCTTCCAGGTCATGTGGCCAGCATGACTAAGCCGCTTCTGGCGAACCAGAGCAGCGCACAGAAACGCCGTTTACCTTCCCGCCGGAGCGGTACCTATTTATCTACTTGCACTTTGACGTGCTTTCGAAGTGCTAGGTTGGCAGGAGCTGGGACCGAGCAATGGGAGCTCACCCCGTCGCTGGGATTCGAACCGCTGACCTTCTGATCAGCAAGTCCTAGGCTCTGTGGTTTAACCCACAGCGCCACCCGCACCCCCCTTAAATCCAGCTTTACAGTCATAAGTTCGATGCGGAGGCAAACTGTCTGCCTCCTTCTCACAGGACACGTCCCAGTAGGCCTTGTATTGGGGTGGCAACTGCCCTTCCTCTCCCATTAGGGGTCCCAATACTTCCACCACCCTTGCAGCGGCTGCTACTGGGGCTTCAATAACTAAGCAGTAGGTATTTTCCTTGGTTTTATTTTATGGGAAATCTGCTGCTCGCTGGGAAGGAAATTCGAGGCAGCCTGCTGCAGGAGTGCATTGGAGTCCATAGATCACAGTTTGACAGCCGGGTCAGCCCAGCAACAAATGGAGCTGCAAACCCATTGGGAACTCGCTTTTGATCTCCATAGAACCTTTGATGTCCTGGTAATCCCCAAGATTACCATACATAATCTTTATGTATTGCAGGGTGATCCTATCTGGTACCTTATTTGAAGGGGGAGAAGCTACCAGGAAAGGGAGGTAACACACGTGCCACAATACTACCTTTACTCCTTAGTCAATAACTGGTTTTCTGTGACACAGTATGTTATTGTGCAATATGATTGCTATTGTAGATGTGGAAAACTCCAAAAAAGAAAGTTAGAAGAAACTAATCATGTCAAACAAATTAAACAAGGCAAGGCTATCAAATTATTTCTCCCCTGTTGATCAAACCCCTTAATGCAGGAAAGTACTACTACTCTGTCACAATGAATACCTCTCCCCTCAAAAATAGAGTAAAACAGACCACCATATGTGTATGTGATTATTGCTCTGAATTAAAGAGAATTAAAGAGAGAGGTCCAATGGAAAAGCTTTTCCTGATGCAGCGCTAGGATTTAATATTGTAAACAGAACATGTTATCAAGGTTTACGTATTGCAGGATACCTTGCAAGCACATCTTGACCCCATAGCTTACATTTAATTAAAAAGGGCCACGACTTCCCAGAAGCAGCCTCCACAAGCCCTCCCTCTTTTTCACAATGCTTTGTTTCCTCATACAGATGGCACACCCATCAGAGTGTTTTTAAACTGCCACATAAAGGGACATGTCTCCATAGGTGTGGAAATTAGCCTATGAAAAGGTGCACCAGACAAGATTTCTGCTGCTTCCAGAGAGAGGTGACTGAATTAAAGGCAATTTAGGCTTACCAGGAATGTAAGTAAAAGTTTTTGTTCAGTGAATCATAAAGTGTAGAGTTGGGAGGGTTCCAAGGGTCATCTAGTCAACCCCCTGCAATGCAGGAATCTCATCAAAGTCTCTCATTCTATTTGAAACCATACTGGGCCCTGCTTCATTTGCAAATGTGCTAGTAGTTGTGCTATTTGTCACTTCCTGTGCAGGGGTCCACAGAGAGAGAGAGAGAGAGAGAGAGAGAGAGAGAGAGAGAGAAATGCTGTCTGTCTTTCAGTGTGCTTTAGGGCTGCGTGATATCAGGTTTATAACATCACAATATATTACCAGCTAAATACCACAATATCTCAATACATCACATGATATATCTGCGGCTGCAGAGGGCCTTGCCGGGCTCTTGGAGAAGTGACTCTTTCTCACTTAATACTCCAGCAGTGGGGTTTGGGGAGACCTTTATAAAAAGTATAAAATCAATCTATAATGAGCAGACGGCCAATATAATTCTAAACAACACACCAGAAAAATGTATGATTATAAAGGCAAGGTTGCTCAGTGTCCCCGCTGTTATTTATATTAATATTAGAAGTACTGGCTCTAAATTTAGGGATTAATAATAAAGTCAATGGAATAACTGAGCCAGCAAAATTACAACTTAAAAGAATTCGCAGATGACATTGTATTAACCTTAGAAAAACCAAGAATGAGCATATTGGAGGTGATAGAAAAGATAAGTAGATTTGTAAAATTGGCTGGCTGCAAACAAAATAAAGGGAAAATCAAGATGCTGCTAAAAAAATAAAGAATAATCAAACAAAAAAAAAGACATTGAATCGGAATGTGGGTGGGAAATAGAAACAAAAATAAAATATCTGTGGATTCGGTTAACAATAAAAAAACATAATATCTATCAAGAAAACTATGTAAAAGCTTGGAAAGAAAGAAAGATTTGGAAATATGGGAGAGAATGAAGCTATCACTGTTTTGGCCATCAAAATGAATGTCCTTCCAATTATAAATGATATCTGATGTTTCATAGAGTGGCAGAAAAAAGTATTAAGGTTCATATGGCAGGGAATGAATCCCAGAGTAAAATTTAAAATTATGCTTGATGAAAAGAAAGAGGAGGTTTGCCCTGCCAGACCTTCAACTTTACGTCAAGGCATCATGCCTATGTTGGATAAAACATGCTCTCTGTTCCTGTTTTTGAAAATGCAAAAAACAAAACAAAACAAACAGAAACCTTCAGCAGTGGAATGAAACCAGCTTGCTTTACAACAGATAAATGATGGAGTCATATATTTGTAATTTTGTAAGTCTCCATGATGGACATTGGAAACACAATACGGCAACTTGGCAAGATTTTCATGTATTCATGAATGTTTCTGGGAAGGCAGATCAAACCAATGTACTGCATTTTTTGTTTTACAGGTAAACAGTGGGGGAAATAGCATCACAACTGAAGAAAATTTCACTTCATATATTTATTTCATTGGCATACGCTTGGTGCTTCAGATCAGGAAACAATGAGCTGGTTTACTCAAATGCTGCAAAACTTGATTAGTTTTCCTTATTTAGAAGAATACTTGAGCTCAGTTGTTCACCCTTGGTGGTTTCGTAAGCTTCTGATTTTGCTTTGTTCATTAATGATAGATATATATTTGGTTGGCTGTGCTTGCTCATTTGGGCTATATGTTTACATGAAGATGAATAAGCACCAAGAAACTGGTCCTGATAGCAAAATTTGGAAAAAGCCAAGGAAATTTATTGCTCATATTGCAGATATATATGGAAAGATATGGCATGGTGAGTAAAAGTTTCTTTCATAGCAATAATTCTTCCTTATGAGTCACTATAATTTCATAGGACAGGATCAGAATTTCAGGCTTGAAGCAATGGAACAATAGTTGCCACAGTGAATCAGGACTGGACCTCTGAATCCCCCTCAGAGTCACAAAAGCTACAAGTTTGGGTTGGCTACATAAGGATCAAAACAAAGGCATGGCTATTTATTTATGTACAGTGGTACCTCGGGTTAAATACTTAATTCGTTCTGGAGGGCCATTCTTAACCTGAAACTGTTCTTAAACTGAAGCATCACTTTTAGCTAATGGGGCCTCCTGCTGCTGCCGTGCCACCGGAGAACAATTTCTGTTCTCATCCTGAAGCAAAGTTCTTAACCCGAGGTAATATTTCTGGGTTAGCAGAGTCTGTAACCTGAAGCCTCTGTACCCTGAAGCATCTGTAACCCAAGGTACCACTGTATGTACACAAACTATGGAATTTGCCAGCACAGGATGTGGTGATGGCTACTAATTTAGATGGACACTGCGGGAAACAGGATAGCCTAATACAGAGGCCTTTGGCCTGATCCATAGGACTCTTTATATGTTCTCAATGCTTCCCACAAGTCTCATGTTACTGTAAGTGCTGAAACTTAAATCAGAAATACACGACTAAAACCAAGTTTGGGCCATAAGGATGAGACCATGTAGCTACTTAGGGCATGGTCAAGGGTGTGTGTGTCTAGGAAACAGCTTTCTCACCTGGTAGAAAGTGATTCCGAGAATGGTCTGAAGATGCCTGAAGTTGGAGCTCTTAGGGACGGGGAAGAAATATACTCCAGGCCCTGGATAGCTCTCATACAGAAGGGGGATACTACTCTTTAAATTAAAAAAGTCTCAGAAAAATTTAGTATAACTATAACAACATATTAAACTGTCTCAAGGGCTCAACCCTATATAAAAGCTTAAAGTAGACTAAAACAGCAAAACAGAGTTTTAGCTCACTCAAAGTCTGGGCAAAAATGTTTCCACCTGTGCTCAAAAGGAAGCAAGGAAGGAACATTCCACGAGAGGAGAAATCCCTTCATTCATTAAGGGACCACCACAGAGAAGTGATGACAACCTAGCATCCAGAATGCTGGAGCATATTGTCGTTGTTGTTTAGTTATTTAGTCGTGTCTGACTCTTCGTGACCCCATGGACCAGAGCATGCCAGGCACTCCTGTCTTCCACTGCCTCCCGCGGTTCGGTCAGATTCATGCTGGTAGCTTTGAGAACACTGTCCAACCATCTCGTCCTCTGTCGACCCCTTCTCCTTGTGCCCTCAATCATTCCCAACATCAGGGTCTTTTCCAGGGAGTATTCTCTTCTCATGAGGTGGCCAAAGTATTGGAGTCTCAGCTTCAGGATCTGCCCTTCCAGTGAGCACTCAGGACTGATTTCCTTAAGAATGGATAGGTTTGATCTTCTTACAGTCCATGGGACTCTCAAGAGTCTCCTCCAGCACCATAATTCAAAAGCATATAACAGAGCTTTTAACCTGATCTTAAATTTCAGGTTTTTTTCTGAACCACTCTGATTTCCGCCAGTAATGGTTGCGATATTTCTTTGTTGCATTTTGTATTATTTTCAGGTTATGAAGTTACTGGCATGGAACATCTCCCTAAAGGACCAGGGATTATTATTTATCATCATGGAGTTGCTCCTCTCGGCTATGCCTTATTTGTGGCTAGACATTTTTTAGAGACGGGGAGACTGTGCTTTTCATTAATTCATCGTTTGGGGGATTGGATACCAGGTAAACTATTTAAATTTAACTCATGTAAAATATGACAAAAATCAAATTAAAATTAAAATTAACTAATGTAAAATATGACAAAAAACAATGCTATAAGCTTTGAAACAATGCTATAAAATATAAAACGATATATCAGGAAAACAGGTGAGAAACAACTGATAAATGAAATAGCAGCAACAGGTGAAATAGTTTAGTTAGTGTAGATGAAGGTATAATAATAGTAATAATTTATTATTTATACCCCGCCCAGCTGGCTGGGTTTCCCCTGCCAATCTGTGCACATTCCAACAAAAGATTAAAAATACTTTCTCACCATGTCTTTACTAGTAAGACAAAATGAATGTAGGCTGAATTATTATTTCCAATTCACAACTGAATCAGCAGAAATGGTTTCCATGCAGAAATTCTATGCTTTGTTGTACAACTTGTTGTACCTCTGAATTTAAACACCACTGGGTGGCAGCTGGGATGGGGTGGGAGCTACAGCTAAGGAAAAAGTCAGAAGCCCAAGTGAAGCCCCAAAGACATGTCCGTGGCTTTCATAGCAAGTCCAACCTATCAACAAATCTGCACACAGATCCCAGGAAACATGGCCCCACCCAAACACATGGCCTATCAAGCACGCCCACACACAGCTTCTATGCCCCCATGTGACACTGCAGTCAAACACATGTGGCACCTTTGCTGTACTGGTCATGGCGCTCCACTGCCTCTCCCCCCACATCATCTTCCTCTGCATGCACACAGCAGCCACCCCAGGAAACTATGACATAGCAGAAAGGTCATTTGAAGGAAGGAGTCCAAAGAGGCCCAGTAGCAAAGAGTGCTGTTTGGAATTTTTCTACTAAGTTAATTAATGCAGCATATAACCTTCACTCATATATCTGTGTACCAATCTCAGCTGGTGGAAGCAGTTTTCCATCAGCATAGTCTCCTCTGTGCTATGTCTCTCTCTCTCTCTCTCTCTCTCTCTCTCTCTCTGTGTGTGTGTCTACTGTACAGTTGTACCTCAGGTTAAGTACATAATTCGTTCCAGAGGTCCATTCTTAACCTGAAACTGTTCTTAACCTGAAGACCACTTTAGCTAATTGGGCCTCCTGCTGCTGCCGTGCCGCCGGAGCAAGATTTCTGTTCTCATCCTGAAGCAAAGTTCTTAACCCGAGGTACTAATTCTGGATTGCGGAGTCTGTAACCTGAAGCGTATGTAACCTGAAGTGTATGTAACCCGAGGTACCACTGTATCCAAAAGCTCTGCACCCTAAAGAGATTGAAGGTTTGGATGCTGCAGCAAGGCACCATGAGCTGTATTTTTATCATAATGCAAACTTGAATGTATTACAGACCTGAGGAACACATGTCTAAAAAGTGGCCACCTCAGCACTCAACCCCACTCAATGTGCTTTCCAAAAAAAAGCCTACTGTCAGAACCTCTGAGCAAAAGAGGAATTAGCCTAAAGTCCACCTCCATGAAATCCTAGTTGAAATGGATTGGCAGAGAGCTATGCTTGTGATCCATAATAGTGCAATATATTTGGAATAATGACACTCGTAGTGAATCCACACTATTTCCTAAATAAGTTTCACATAAAATGCATTCTTCTATTTGGGGCTTATTTTTTCAGGGCTGCAGATGTTTTTTTATGTGAGCGCGTTGAAATTTTACAAGAAAGCTGAAATTGTGGAAATGATGAAGAAAGGCCATTTACTGGGCATTGCACCTGGTGGAGGTAGAGAAGCACTGTTTAGTCATGATTACGACATAATGTGGGGTAAACGCACAGGTTTTGCTCAGGCAGCTTTGGAGGCGAAAGTGGTGAGTGATCTTTGTGCAATTTGCATTGCCTTTACGAATATCCTAGATAAGATGTAATGTGTTGACATCCTTGATCCAGCATCCAAAAAAGTTGAGGATGGCAAATATCCTGTTTGGGGGTCAAATGAAAAACACCGATTTACTGGATCTAGAAGGGCACAATAATAGATATGGGTGGCACTCCTACTTATGGTATAATAAGGTGAAAATACATAAAGGATTTACAAACCATATATTTAGGGGTGTCCTGTATGAGGTATGGGACAAGAATAAAAATTTAGTAGAAAGAACTACACCTTGGTTGCTATCCCCGATAGATGTACTGACAATAAAAAAGTTAAATATGGAAGGGAAGAGACTAACTTATGAAGATATTTTAGTGAAAGCTGAGAACGGGTGGAAGCTAAAACCATATGACAATATAAAAAGTGCTTTTATGGGATGGATACAAAATCACCAGGTGAATGGCTTATTAAAAGAGGATAAGAAATTGGGATTTAGCGGAGGGAAATCAAGATACCAAATTGAAATTTTAGAAGGCAGAACAAAACTCCTATCTAAAATGTATGAACATTTATTGGAATGGGATACCAAAGATGAACTAATAAAAGAAGTAATGATGAAATGGGCAGTAGATTTCGGTTATAACATTGACTACGACAAATGGGTAAGACTATGGAATGAAGGTATGAGATTCACAGCGTGTTCCACTCTAAAAGAAAACCTAAGTAAAATGATGTATCGGTGGTATATAACCCCGAGTAAATTGGCAAAAATGTATAAAATGCGAGATAGAGCCTGCTGGAAGTGTACATTAAAGGATGGAGAATTTTTCGACATGTGGTGGACATGCGAAAAAATGAAAAAGTTTTGGGATATGATATACAATGAAATGATTTTTTTTTTCCAAATATACATTCCCAAAGAAACCAGAGGCTTTTTTATTAGGGATAGAATCATAGAATCACAGAGTTGGAATAGACCACAAGGGCCATCGAGTCCAACCCCCTGCCAAGAGGGAAATACCATCAGAGCACTCCTGACATATGGTTGTCAAGCCTCTGCTTAAAGACCTCCAAAGAAGGAGACTCCACCACACTCCTTGGCAGCAAATTCCACTGTCGAACAGCTCTTACTGTCAGGAAGTTCTTCCTAATCTTCTTTCTTGTAGTTTGGATCCATTGCTCCGTGTCCGCTTCTCTGGAGCAGCAGAAAACAACCTTTCTCCCTCCTCTATATGACATCCTTTAATATATTTGAACATGGCTATCATATCACCCCTTAACCTCCTCTTCTCCAGGCTAAACATGCCCAGCTCCCTTAGCCGTTCCTCATAAGGCATCGTTTCCAGGCCTTTGACCATTTTGGTTGCCCTCCTCTGGACACGTTCCAGTTTGTCAGTGTCCTTCTTGAACTGTGGTGCCCAGAACTGGACACAGTACTCCAGGTGAGGTCTGACAGAGCAGAATACAGTGGCACTATTACTTCCCTTGATCTAGATGCTATACTCCTATTGATGCAGCCCAGAATTGCACTGGCTTTTTTAGCTGCCGCGTCACACTGTTGGCTCATGTCAAGTTTGTGGTCAACCAAGACTCTTAGATCCTTTTCACATGTACTGCTCTCAAGCCAGGCGTCACCCATCTTGTATTTGTGCCTATCATTTTTTTTGCCCAAGTGCAATACTTTACATTTCTCCCTGTTAAAATTCATCTTGTTTGTTTTGGCCCAGTTCTCTAATCTGTCAAGGTCGTTTTGAAGTGTGATCCTGCCCTCTGGGGTGTTAGGCACCCCTCCCAGTTTGGTGTCATCTGCAAATTTGATCAGGATGCCCTTGAGTCCATCATCCAAGTTGTTGATAAAGATGTTGAATAAGACCGGGCCCAAGACAGAACCCTGTGGCACCCCGCTAGTCACTCTTCTCCAGGATGAAGAGGAACCATTGATGAGCACCCTTTGGGTTCGGTCAGTCAGCCAGTTACAAATCCACTGAGTGGTAGCATAGTAAAGACCGCATTTTACCAGCTTCTTTACAAGAATATCATGGGGCACCTTGTCAAATGCCTTGCTGAAATCAAGGTAGGCTACATCCACTGCGTTCCCTTCATCTACCAGGCTTGTAATTCTGTCAAAAACGAGATCAGGTTAGTCTGACATGACTTATTTTTCAGAAATCCATGCTGACTATTGGTGATCACAGCATTCCTTTCTAGGTGCTCACAGACTGTTTGCTTAATGATCTGCTCCAGAATCTTCCCTGGTATTGATGTCCGACTGACTGGGCGATAATTATTTGGGTCCTCTCTTTCCCCCTTTTTGAAAATAGGGACAACATTTGCCCTCCTCCAGTCTGCCGGGACTTCGCCTGTTCTCCAGTAATTCTCAAAGATGACTGCCAGTGGTTCTGAGATCACATCTGCCAGTTCTTTTAATACTCTTGGATGCAGTTCATCTGGCCCTGGAGACTTGAATACATCTAAACTAGCCAAGTATTCTTGTACTATCTCCTTAGTTATTCTGGGCTGTGTTTCCTCTGCTGGATAATAGGAGATGAAGTGAGAAAAGAAGACTGCAAATTATTCCTGTATGCCACGACTGCCGCAAAAGTGGAAATCCCTAGAGTTACCAACTCTAGGGATTACCAACCCTAATGGAGTGGCAGACAAAATTATTCGAGTATACTGAATTGGCAAAAATGAGTTATAAAATTCGAGACCAAAAAGTGACAAAGTTTGAGGAGGAGTGGAGTAAATTTGTTGTGTATATACGAAATAACTGTAGAAGTTTGAAAACTGTAGCAGGGCTAACATGATGTATATAGAATGTAATTAAGAATCTGCAGGAATGGATGTAAACTGGGAAAACCAAAGCAGGGAAGGAGGGAAGTCGGGGCGCGAAATTGCGCAGGGTAAATAAGAAGATAAAAAAGGTTGAATGTTAAAGTTAAAGTTTTATTTAATTTTGTTTTGTTTTTGAAAATAAAAAAAGTAATAAAAATAAATAAATAAAGCCAAATACATTATCATTTATGAGTAGCTTCTCATTATAATCCCAGATGTGAAGCATTCTTCGTAGTCCATAACAAAAATAAAGGCAGGATGGTTGCGACAAAATAATTATCCAGTCCTCACCTTTCTTTTCATGTTTGTTTCATCTTTTATTTTTTTAGCCCATCATCCCTATTTTTACACAAAACAGTTGTGAAGCATACAGGACCATTGGAAAGACAAGTAAGTTAAATACCTTGGTTGATCAAGAGATCTCAGGCAATATACATTTTAATAATATAGAATGATCTTTTAAAAAGAATATCTATTTACTACTCACTAATAGATTTTATTCCATGTACACTTATCTGCAATGTTGTGCTGCCTGCCTCAGTACTGAGTGAACATGCCCTTGCTTAGTTTTCTATTAGATTTAACAGAAAGCTATAATCGATAAATGTGGGAGCAACCCTAACATGGAGGGGAAGTGAACAGGAAACATACCATATTCTGCAGTCTATTGTACACAACTTATGACTGATTGCAAAGAGCTGACTGAATATCTTGTATCTCTTTTCCCAAGCACTCACTTTATTTAACTCTTCCTCTCTGGGATGTATTTATTGCAATTGCTAAACACTGAGAATGTCAACTAATTTCAAATTTGATATGGTGTCACTTTACTTCAGAATCTTCTTCCATTTCATACACAGGGCTGTCAAAATGGCTGTATGATAAAATTCGATGTACGTTCATTCTCATTTACGGAGGGTTTCCAGTGAAATTGAGGACATTTATTGGAGAACCCATCCCATATGATCCAAATATAACAGCTGTAGAGCTGGCTCAAAGAGTAAGTTAACTCTAAACTTGGAAGTTTAAAAGGAGAATATTTCTTTTTTCTTTTTTTCTTTTAAAAAATATTTTTATTAAGCATATTTAACAAATCAAATTATAAATCAAATATAACCAATTACATTTCTCCCCTCCCTCCCTCTCCCTCCCTCCAGAGACCTTCAGCTCCCCTCTCTGATTTGTTCATACATATGATTCTCTGCATGTTGTAAAGTTGTACATATCATTACCTTTTCTGTCATATGTTCTACTACTAAATTTGTGGATGTTTATTCAAAACCTGCCAAGGAGTCCAAATCCATTTGTTGTCTTTTTGAATAGTTTTGTAAATAGTTCCCATTCTTCCTTGAAGGCACGGTTGTCCTTCTCACACAGTTTATGTGTTAACTTTGCTAACTCCGCATAACTCATCAGTTTTTCTTGCCATTGTTCTTTCATTGGGATTTCCTCATTCTTCCATCCTTGTGCTAACAAGACGCTTGCCGCTGTTTTAGCATACATAAATAAGTTCTTTGTTTTTCTTGGCAGGTGTTGTCCTAAAATCCCTAACAAAAATGCTTCTGTTTTTTTTACAAATGTCATTTTGAAGACTTTTTCAATTCATTGTATATCACCTCCCAATTTTTTAAAAAAATTTATCTACATTCCCACCACATATGATACAAAGTACCTTCTTTTTCTTTACATTTCCAACATGTATTTGACCCAGTTTTATACATTTTTGCCATTTTTACTGGTGTAATATACCATCTATACATTATGTTCATATAATTTTTTTTCAAAAGAGAACAATCTGTAAATTTCAAATCTACCTTCCACAGCTTTTCCCAATCCTCAAATTGTATATTTTGTCCTATGTCTTGTGCCCATTCAATCATGACTGATTTAACCTCCTCATCTTTCGTTTCCCATTCTAGCAGAATACTATATGCTTTCTTCAATAACTTCACTTCTTCTATAACCTCCTTTTGGAATCTAGAGATTGTATAGCTAAACCCTTTGTCTGTAATGCAACCAACTCTGCACATGATCTTTAATTTCCTCATAATCTTTTAATTTCCATTTTCCTTCTTGGTCTCTCAGTAGGACTCTATATGTGGGCCACTTTCCCCTTTTGTCAAGCAGTTTGAGTAACAAAGCTTCAATTGGTGATAACCACCAATGTGTTTTTTTGTTCTATTAAATCTTTGTACCTCTCCCACACTCTCATTAATAATCTTCTAATTATGTGATTGTAAAATCCTTTATGTACTTTCCCTTTCCCATACCATAAGAATGCATGCCATCCATATCTGTTATCATGATCTTCCAAATCTAATGCTTCTTCCCTTTCCAGTTTTATCCAGTCCCTAATCCAGACCAAACATGCAGCCTCATAATACAGTTTAAAATCTGGGAGGGCAAAGCCTCCTCTTTCTTTTATATCTGTAAGTATTTTATGTTTAATCCTTGGCCTTTTGCCCCCCAGATAAACTCCCCCCCCCAATTTTTTTAAATTAAATTTTCCACAATTATAACAAATATGACATAGAAAAGAGAAAAAACACACAAAAGAAAAACACATTAAAATACTAAAAAAGCAAAACAAAAAAATTAAACCACATATTACTTGTGAAACCCAATTTATCTTTAATTGTTAATTGACTTCCTCGGATCCCTCCTATCTGAATTTCATTGTATCACCTTATAACAGCTCTCCAATATCATTTTTCTACTAAAATTAATTCTGTCATGTCAATTAACTATCTTCTTTCATGTCTTAATATTCCAAATCCAAATTAGTTACAATTCAATCTTATTTTAATCCTAGCTCTATTTGGTACTTTCAAGTGACTACTGGTTAAATTAAATTAAATTAAATTAAATTAAATTAATTAAATAATCCTTAAATTTCTTCCAATCTTCTTGGTGATCCTCTTCTTTCTGGCCGCGGATTCTTCCAGTCAGGTCAGCTAGCTCCCAAAAATCCAGCATCTTCATCTGCCATTCTTCCACCGTTGCGATTTCTTGGGATTTCCATTTTTTGGCTAATAACAATCTTGCCGCTGTGGTTGCATACAAAAATAATCTAACATCTTTTTTGGGTAATTCCAATCCCATTATTCCAAGTAGAAAGGCCTCTGGTTTCTTAATAAATGTATTTTTCAACATTTTTTTCCAATTCATTATAAATCTTTTCCCAGAAGTCTTTCACCTTGGGTCATGTCCACCACATGTGAAAAAAAGGACCTTCTTTTTCTCTACATTTCCAACATATATTGTCATTCGTGTGGCAGATCTTTGCCAATTTTACTGGGGTTAAGTACCATCTATACATCATTTTCATGACGTTTTCTTTTAATACAGTACATGCAGTAAACTTAACCCCTTTCTTCCACAACCTTTCCCAATCTTCCAACATTATATTGTGTCCAACATCTCTTGCCCAATCAATCATAACAGATTTAACTTGTTCATCCTTCGTATGCCACTCCAACAGCAGATGATACATTTTAGATAAATTTTTAACTTTAGTATCTAACAACTCCGTTTCCAGTTTGGTTTTTTTCTAAAAGTCTTATTCAGCTCACGGCTTCGGGCAGCGGTAGCTGTTTTCACTTTTATTCCAGCGGAAAGGGACCAACCTCCGTGTTTAAGTCCCTTCCTGTCAAATTAAATGTCCAAATTTTAAGTCCTTTTAACTGAAGATTTTCCAAATTTATTTTGAGAAATTGGCCGCTCACGAATGCCGGACTTGGAGCTTCGCACAATGAAGAAAGCGAGTTGATTCTAAAGTGCCCACGTCTCCAACCCCGCTCGCTCTCGGGGCTCTTTACAAGAGCTTACCGGGGAGCGGGGGGAGTCATTCTGGGCACCCGCAGAAACACCAGATCCTCAGAATGCTCAATCTGAGGTTTTTTTCGGGGTACCACAGCACTCATGGTCTCCCCAGCCTTCAATGCACCGGGGCTCTTTCAGCCAAAAGAACTCCCCTCCGCCATAACTAGGCAACCAACCGGAAGTCAACTTAGAGATATCTTTTTGCCATCTTTTGAGGCAATCATCCTTAACCATTACTGGGACTGTGTGGAAGAGAAAGAGCATTTTTGGCAACACATTCATTTTTACCGCTGCAATTCTTCCTAGTAGGGAAAGGTTCATTCTACTCCATATTTCTAAATTCCTTTTTATCTCAGACCATACTTTTTCATAATTGTCTTTATACATGTTTATATTTCTTGTAGTTAACCATATCCCTAAATATTTTACTTTTTTATGGATTTCTATCTCAATACTTTGCACCAAATCTTTTTTCTCTTCCTCTTTTAAATTTTTAACTAATAATTTAGTTTTATTTCTATTTAATTTTAATCCTGCCACTTCCCCAAATTCTTGAATTTTCTCTATTACTCTAGGAAGAGAATTTTTTGGATCTTCTACTGTGATTACTAAATCACCAGCAAAGGCTTTCAGCTTTCAGCTTAAATTGATCCCCCCGTCCCAGTTTTTATCCCTTTAATCTCTTTGTCCGTGCTTATATTTCTTGCACGTACTTCCAGGACCAGGATGAACAATAGCGGTGACAACTGACATCCTTGCCTATAGTTCCTTTTTGTATTTTACATTAATTCGTTATCACCTGATTTGCACTTAATTTTGCAGTTTGTTCTGAATATATTGCTTGTAACCCTTTTAAAAATTTATATCCACAATTAATTTCTTCAAGTATTTTTTTAATGAAGTCCCAGGAAATAATAATAATAATAATAATAATAATAATAATAATAATAATTTTATATCCCGCCCATCTGGCGGGGTTTCCCCAGCCACTCTGGGCAGCTTCCAACAAAGTATTAAAATACAGTGGAAACATTGTCAAAAGCTTTTTCGGCACCTATAAACATCATTGCTGCTTTTTTTTCATTTTTTACCTCCAGGTATTCTATCACATTCAAAATATTTCTTATATTCTCTTTCATTTGTCTGCCTGGAAAAAACCCTGTCTGATGTTGATGTATATATTCACCTAAGATTTTTTTCATCCTATTCGCTAATATGTTTGCAAATAATTTATAACCATTATTTAATAATGAAATAGGCTTGTAATTTTTTATTTGCATTAAATCCGAATCTTGTTTTGGGATCAATGTTATATAAGCTTCTTTCCATGTTCCGGGGATTTCACCTGTCATTAAGATCTCATTCATCAAATCTTTCAATGGATTTACTAATGGTTCACTTAACTTTTCATAATATTTTGCCGTTAATCCATCTGGTCCTGGAGACTTACCACTTTTTGTCCAATTTATTGCATCTAAAACTTCTTGAGCTGTTATTTGAGTATTTAAATTGTTCCTCTTTTATTTTTGGCAGATTACTATTTTTTACAGTATATATTCCTCTATTTTAAAATTCCTTTCCTTTCTTATACAGTTTTGAGAAACATTTCACAAATGCTTCTCTTATTTCCTTCATCTTCTCTGTAATTTTCCCATTATATTAATTTTGCTTATAAAATTTCTTTGTTCACTTTTTTTCAATTGCCACACTAACAATTTTCTTGATTTATTGGTGTGTTTAAAATATGTCTGCTTCATTTTTTTATCTTCCAACTAATTCCTTCATTGACTGTCATAGAGTATTGAGTTTGTGATATTCTAATAATAATAATATAATATAATATAATATAATATAATATAATATAATATAAGCAGAATATTTCTTTTCCTCTTGGTTTCTCTCTCTTTCAGCTCTAAACTGTATTGTACATATTGATTTCTTCATTCTATATGACCTGATATAGGGTTCATTATATATACCTTTGTGCATTATGCCCATCACTCAATTTTCCCTCCCCTTAACTTGTTGAGACTAATTAAATGGGGGGGAAACTATGCGGTACAAAGAGAGATCTGCTCATGCAATGGGACTTCTTCTTCCCACTATGTTAGGGTTGACTATACAAAATACATTCTGGAGGTTTATATCAATAATCAAATAATAGATCTTATTCTAATTGCACCTGATGAAAATTTTGGTCAATCGCATAAAAAGTTGTTGAGCTGAGCTTCTTTGGGGCCACTGATCAACTGCCCTCTTGCGCCCTTCCCAAGCTGCCCACACGTGCGAAACAGAGCCCACGCCACACAAGACAGAGTCCAAGCAAAGGAAGACTTGGGAATCTGAATCCCAAAGGGAGGGGGCTAAGGGGAGGAGCATGTAGGGTCCTGGTGGCTGATGGGAACAGGGTTGGAACATTGTTTAGTATGCCTGATTCTTCTCCAAGCACTTTCTGCTTGTTTTCTTGCTGCATCAAGTTTCAGGTTTTGATTGCCTGTTTAAAGGGGCAGATAAGAAATTTCTTTCTGCAAGGGGTTATGCCTTGGTTGTCCTGAGGTTCGCTCCTTTTATCCTACATTGTAACAACCATGCAAGGTAACTACTGTGTACAAAGCAGCCCAAGGCACATATGTTTGATTGTTTCTCTGCCATTCTCATACAGTGCTCTTGGTAAACATAAAGAGAGTGGGCTGGATTCACTGAGAAATGAGCAGTTTCCTAGTGGGGGGTTCCTCACCCTGGCTGCTCTGGCCCAAACCTCCATGTTGAAGAAGCCACTTTTGAGGGTTGAGAGACAAGAACTCTCATGCAGCATACCTGAGTATACAAAGTCAGTTGCGTATCCCAGAAAGAAGTCACATATTGTGCTTCTATAGCTGGAATAAATGGGTTGCCTCTGGTTGTGATCCCTTTAGCTTTTTCCTCACAGATATTAATAACTGTGAATACCTATTTTGCAATCTATTCCTCTAACACAATGTATTCCTCTGGTTTTCTTTCAACAGGCGAAGATTGCACTTGAAAATCTTCGGGATAAACACCAAAAAAGGCCAGGAAATATATTAAGAGCTCTTTCAGAACGATTTGATAAGCATTACAAAGCTAACTAGTCCATATAAAACAGTTGCAGTGTTTATGAGAAGGTGTCTGTAATAGGAAGCATTAATACTTATGTTATTAAAACTAAGTTGATATACACAGAATTGTGCTGGATTGTTTATTAATTATCTGGAAGGGTCCCTAGCTCAGTGGCTCAGCACCTGCTGTGTGTGCAGAAGGTCCTACGTTTTTGAAGACGTACAAGTGCTTTCCTGCCCTATCCTGCAATACACCCAGAATTCCCCTTTTTGGGGAACCTACACTAGTAGAGGCAGAATCGAACAGTATAACAGGAAGGCGAATGTTTAACTGAAACATGAAATAATATTACATGTGAAAGAGTAATGTCTATAAATTACCTGTATTAAAACAGTGGCACTTCTTTTATGTTTATTAAAGGGTGCTCCAAGATTTGAGCCCTATAATGCAAATCATTTTAAACTTATAGCAAGAAAAGTAGAGAAAACAAAAAGATAGCTGGAATTCGTGACTGATCTAACGAAAACAGCCAACTCAACTATGAATCTGGGTCTGGTGCCCACCCCGCAATAGCACCGCCCCCCCCTTTGAACACCCTAACATCAGATGTCAAATAGATAAACAACTACACAACTTTCTGAAGACATCTGAAGGCAATCCTGCATCAGGAAGTTTTTAATTGATGATGTGTTGCTGTGGTTTTTTATGTTCTAAGCTGCCCAGAGTGACCGGAGCAACCAGGCTTTTACACACACACACACACACACACACACACACACACACACACAGGTAAACACACACACACACACACACACACACAATATCTTCTTTATCTTTTAGCTCCTGAAAGACTCAAGTTCCCATCTTAGCTGATTTCTTTCTTCCATAGCCTCAGTTATGAATACCAGAGTAGGCTGATCAGGATTCAAGAATTTTTTGGCCATTTGTTTCTGAAGATGATGTATGGCCCAGTGAACAAAGGCCAAGCTTTTGATCTGAAAATCATTGGGTGTGTTGAGGAATGTTATTACAGAGCTCGGAGGCAGATATTCTTTATGACGCCTCACAGTATTATGGTCATTTGCAAGGTGTCATGGATGTAGATTGTGCCATGGAAATAATAATTTGGTGAAGTTTAGTCACAGTGTGCTTCTTAGTCTTTAAATGGTTTATTTAATTTATTTAGATTTATATCCTGCTTTTTGACAAAATTCCTCAAAGCGACTAGTTCCTTTTACTAAAATAATGATGCTAGAATAATAGAACATGGAGAAATATCTACAGAAAATATCCAATTAAGCAGTCATGGGAAATCAATCATACTTCTTGCAGTTTTTGTGTGGTATTCATCCATTCTTGTAATCCTGATAGCATCATTGATTGAACTTCTCACTGCCCACATAGTGAGAGTTTCAACAATGCAGGGTGGATATCAACTTAATGGGGTATGCCAGCCCATTTCAAAACCACGCCAGCTTAGTTGGAGGTGTGGGTGTACCTAGCAATTAAGGAGGCACAGCAACTGCAGAACACATTTTCTTACATGCCACTGTATGGCAAAGTATGTCAACCTAGAATTTCTAGAGCTCCTGAGAAAGCAAAGCATACTGCAGGAGCAACGAGTGAAGAAGCTTTTTGATGAGCTGCCTGCAGAAAAATCAGCATGGCAGAATTTAACCAAACAATCAAACAGATGGTATTGGAGATCTTAGACAATGCCTAGAGCACAAGTAGCTGGTCAAGTTTATTAGAGTAGGATTGATTACTGAGGATGATTACTTGAGATTCAGTATTCAAACCTAGTAGGTGTTAATGAAATCCACATACCCATGCTGCTGTAGAATTAAATGGCAGGTCCAATCGAAGAGCTTTTGCAGTGCTAGGATTCAATATTGTAAACATGACATGTTATTAAGGTTTACGTATTGCAGGATGATCCTATTACATGCATATCTTGTTACAATTCCTACCTTTACTCCTTAGTCAATAACTGGTTTTCTGTGACCCAGTATGTTATTGTGCAATATGAGTGCTATTGTAGGTGTGATCCCTTAAGTTATCCTTAATTACAAATGGCCACAACTTCCAAGTACCAGGCACTCTAAGCCTTCCCTCTTTTTCACAATACTTCATTTCTTTATACAGATGGCACACCCATCACAGTCACTTTAAACTGCCACATAAAGGGTCATGTCTACATAGGGTTGGAGATTAGCCAACAAAAAATTGTACCAGACAAGACTTCTGCTGCTCCCAGAGAGAGGTGACTGAATTAAAGGCAATTTAGACTTACCAGGTATGTAAGTAAAAGTTTTTGTTCAGTGAATCATAAAGTGTAGAGTTGGAAGGGGCTCCATGGGTCATCTAGTCCTTCAACTTCACTTTGAGGCATCCTGCCTATGTTGGATAAAAGATTGGATTTTGTTGAAAATACAAAATTGTTAAACTTAGAAGGGCATGATATACAGTTTGGGTGGCACGCAAGCCTATGGTATAGAAAAGCAAAAAATATAAAACTTTTACAAATCACGTAATTAGAAAAAACCTATTTAGAGTGTGGAAAAAGTATAAAAATTTACTGGAAAGAAAAACACCACTGTGGATATCCCCAGTAGAAGCTACGATCAGGAAAAAAACAAATATGGAAAAGCATTGGTTAACTTACAGTGAAATTTTAGAGTGACCTTGCAGGACAGGAACCAAAACTGATAAATCTCTAGGAATTAAGAAATTTGGTTACAGATTGGCTACAGGTACATCAGATTAATGAACTGTTTAAAATTGATAGGGAAAATGGCTTTGCAGAACAAAAGTCTCAGTTTATCAAAGACCTATTAGATACAAATATAAAAGTATTATCAAAAATATACAAACGGCTGTTGGAGTGGGAAACTAAAGATGAATTTGTGAAATCAAGCATGATTAAGTGGGCATAAGATGTGGGTCACAATACTGATTATACATTATGGAAAAAGATTGTGGAAACTAAATATGAATTTTACGGCATGTTATGCGATAAAAGAAAATAAGATCAAAATGGCCCAGAGATTTAACACCCACCAGATTGGCAAAGATGTCTAAAAAAAGAAAAAGGTATATTTTGCATATACCTTGCAAGGGAACTTGAGGGATTTTTAATTCACATGTGGTGGTCCTGTAAAATAATTAAGGATTATTAGGAATCTATATCTAATGAATTAGAAAAGATAATTAAAAAAAACTTTTCCCCAAACACTTGAGATTTTTCTCTTGGGGAATGGTAATAACGGAGGTCCCAAAAAACAAGAGTTTACTACTTTATGCCACTACTACAGCTAGAACTTTATTGGCACAAAGATGAAGACCAAGTATAGTACCACTAAGGAAGAACAGTACTGTAAATTGTTTGAATATGCTGAACTGGTTTGTCTCATGAACAGGATAAGAGAAAATGGAGATAAGGAATATAAGGAGGAAGGGATAATGTTTATTGACTATTTACAGAACCAGTACAGGTACAGACAAATACATAGCTTAGCAGGTCTCGTGGAAATTCAGCAGAGTCGAAATAGATAAAGTACCAAATGATGAAAAAGATGTGGATTACGCGAAGTAGTAGAAAAGCAAATGGAACCAGGAAAAGTGTGAAAGGGAAGTCACATGGTATAAGTAGATATGCTGTATTTGGTATGGTTGTAAGTGGGACGGGGTGGGGGGTGGGGGTTAAATATACTCTTTGTTCCTGTTTTTGAAAATGCAAAAAATAACAAAAAAAAACTTCAGTAGTGGAATGAAACCAGCTTGCTTTATAACAGATAAATGATGGAGTCATATATTTGTAATTTTGTAAATCTCCATGATGGACGTTGGAAACACAATACAGCAACTTGGCAAGTTACACTGCGGAAAACTAGGAAAATATTAAGCAGCATGAGATTTTCATGTACTCATGAATGTTTCTGGGAAGGCAGATCAAATCGATGTTCTGCATTTTCTGTTTTACAGGTAAACAGTGAGGGAAATAGCATCACAACTGAAGAAAATTTCACTTCATATATTTATTTCATTGGCATACGCTTGGTGCTTCAGATCAGGAAACAATGAGCTGCTTTAATCAAATGCTGCAAAACTTGATTAGTTTTCCTTATTTAGAAGAATACCTGAGCTCAGTGGTTCACCCTTGGTGGCTTCATAAGCTTCTGATTTTGCTTTGTTCATTAATAATAGATATATATAAGGCTGGCTGTGCTTGCTCATTTGGGCTATAAGTTTACATGAAGATGAATAAGCACCAAGAAACTGGTCCTGATAGCAAAATTTGGAAAAACCAAGGAAATTTATTGCTCATATTACAAATATATATGGAAAGATATGGCACGGTGAGTAAAAGTTTCTTTCATAGCAATAATTCTTCCTTATGAGTCACTATAATTTCATAGGACTGAGGATCAGAATTTCAGGCTTGAAGCACTGGAACAATAGTTGCCACAGTGAATCAGGACTGGACCTCTGAACCCCCCTCAGAGTCACAACAGCTACAAGTTTGGGTTGGCTACATAAGGATCAAAACAAAGGCATGGCTATTTATTTATGTAATAAGAAAAACAAAGCATTTTGTGAAGTATGAAACTAAGGTGGTTCTGTGAACTGCCCTGAGGCCTCCAGGTATAGGGTGGTATATAAATTCAATAAATAAATAATAAAATAAATAAATAAGACAGATTACAAAAGAAAGGGTCGGCTGGTAGTTGCATAAACACTATACATTTAAACCACATTTTAAGTACGCTTTTTCTCCAAAAGAAACCTGGAGAATGTTGTTTACACCTCACAGGGACACAATTAGCAACTATGTACACATGATGGAATATGCCAGCAAAGGATTTGGTGATGGCTACTAATTTAGATGGACACTGCGGGAAACAGGATAGTCTCAAATAGAGGCCTTTGGCCTGATCCATAGGACTCTTTATATGTACTCAATGCTTCCCACAGGTCTCATGTTACTGTAAGTGTTGAAACAACATATTAAACCATCCCAAGGGCTAAACCCCATATAAAAGCTTAAAGTAGACTAAAACAGCAAAACACAGTTTTAGCTCACTCAAAGACTGGGCAAAAATGTTTCCAGCTGTGCTCAAAAGGAAGCAAGGAAGGCACATTCCAGGAGAGGAGAAGTCCCTTCATTCATTAAGGGACCACCACAGATAAAGTCTTGATCCGTGTGGATGACAACCTAGCATCCAGAATGCTGGAGCATATTGTCGTTGTTGTTTAGTCATTTAGTGGTGTCCGACTCCTTGTGACCCCATGGACCAGAGCATGCCAGGCACTCCTGTCTTCTACTGCCTCCTGCGCTTCGGTCAGACTCATGCTGGTAGCTTCGAGAACACTGTCCAACCATCTCGTTTTCTGTCGTCCCCTTCTCCTTGTGCCCTCCATCTTTCCCTCCCTTTTCCAAGGAGTCTTCTCTTCTCATGAGGTGGCCAAAGTATTGGAGCCTCAGCTTCAGGATCTGTCCTTCCAGTGAGCACTCAGGGCTCTTTCCTTAAGCATGGATAGGTTTGATCTTCTTGCAGTCCATGGGACTCTCAAGAGTCTCCTCCAGCTCCATAATTCAAAACCATATAACAGAGCTTTTAACCTGATCTTAAATTTCATTTTTTTTCTGAACCACACTGATTTCCGCCAATAATTGCTGCGATATTTCTTTGTTGCATTTTGTATTATTTTCAGGTTATGAAGTTACTGGTATAGAACATATCCCTAAAGGACCAGGGATTATTATTTATCATCATGGAGTTGCTCCTCTCGGCTATGCCTTATTTGTGGCTAGATATTTTTTAGAGACGGGGAGAGGGTGCTTTTCATTAACTCATCATGTTGTGTATTGGATACCAGGTAAATTATTTAAATTTAAATCATGCTTTTTTACATAAAACATGTAAAATATGACATAAAACAATGCTATAAGCTATGAAAAAATGCTTTAAAATATAAAACTGTATATCAGGAAAGCAGGTAAAAACAACTGATAAACAAAATAGTAGCAAAAGGTGAAATAGTTTAGTTAGTGCAGATGAAGGTACTTTCACACCAAGTCTTTGCTAGTAAAAGAGAATGAATGCAGGATGAATAATTATTTCCAGTTCACAACTGAGTCAGCAGAAATGGTCTCCATGAAGAAATGCTGTGCTTTTCTGTCTACATTCTTCCCCAGAGATCTAAAAACTGAGGAATCTGGATAATGTGTCATCTGATTCCTATGCTATAATAATAATAATAATAATAATAATAATAATAATAATAATAATTTATTATTTATACCCCGCCCATCTGGCTGGGTTTCATCAGCCTCTCTGAGTGGCTTCCAACAAAGTATTAAAATACTGTAGTCTGTTAAACACGAAAAGCTTCCCTAAAAACAGGGCTGCCTTCAGATGTCTTCTAAAAGTTTGGTAGTTGTTTTTCTCTTAGACATCTGGTGGGAGGCATTCCACAGGGCAGGTGCCACTACCAAGAAGGCCCTCTGCCTGGTTCCCTGTAACTTGGCTTCTCACAGTGAGGGAACTGCCAGAAGGCCCTCAGCACTAGACCTCAGTGTCCGAGCAGAGCGATGGGGATGGAGATGCTCCTTCAGGTATACTGGACCAAGGCCGTTTAGGGCTTTAAACACTATTAATTGTGCTCTGAAACATACTGGGAGCCAATGTAGGTCTTTCAAGACTGGTGTTATGTGGTCTCGGTGGACGCTCCCAGTCACCAGTCTAGCTGCCACATTCTGAATTAGTTGTAGTTTCCGGGTCACCTTCAGGTCACCTTCAAAGGTAGCCCCACGTAGAGCACATTGCAGTAGTCCAAGCAGGAGATAACTGGAGCATGCACCACTCTGGCAAGACAGTCCACGGGCAGATAGGATCTCAGCCTACGTACCAGATGGAGCTGTTAAACAGCTGCCCTGGACACAGAATTGACCTGCACCTCCATGGACAGCTGTGAGTCCAAAATGACTCCCAGGCTGCACACCTGGTCCTTCAGGGACACCGTTATCCCATTCAGGACCAGTGAGTCCTCCACAACCACCCGTCTCCTGTCCCCCTAAAAGAGTACTTCTGTCTTGTCAGGATTCAACCTCGATCTGTTAGCTGCCATCCATCCTCCAACCACCTCCAGACGCTCACACAGGACTTTCATCGCCTTCACTGGTTCACTGGTTGAAAGAGGTAGAGCTGGGTATCATCTGTATATTGATGAAAACCCAACCCAAACCCCCTGATGGCTGCATGTAGATGTTAAAAAGCATGGGGGAGAGGACAGAACCCTGAGGCACCCCACAAGTGAGAGCCCAGGGGTCTGAACACTCATCTCCTACCACCACTTGCTGAACACGGCCCAGGAGGAGGGAGCGGAACCACTGTATAACTGTGCCCCAGCTCCCAGCCCTTCTAGACAGTCCAGAAGATGTTATGGTCGATGGTATCAAAAGCCGCTGAGAGATCCAGCAGAACTAGGAAACAGCTCTCACCTTTGTCCCTAGCCTGCTGGAGATCATCGACCAGTGCGACCAAGGCAGTTTCAGTCCCATGATGAAGCCTGAATCCTGACTGGAAGGGATCCAAATGGTCCGCTTCTTCCAGGCATGCCTGAAGTTGTTCAGCAACCACTCGCTCAATCACCTTGCCCAAGAGTGGAAGATTTGAGACTGCACGATAGTTGGCCATATTGGCTGGGTCTAGAGTTGTTTTTTTAAAGAAGCGGTTTAATGACCACCTCTTTCAGCAGGTCTGGGAAGGCTCCCTCACAGAGAGAAGCATTCACCACCCCGCAAAGCCCATCGCCCAGCCCTTCCCAACTAGCTTTTATAAGGATCAAGGAGACAGGTAGTTGGTTTCACTTGTCTAAACATCCTGTCCACATCCTCAGAGGTAACAGATTGGAATTGATCCCATGCAACATGACTAGACAGGACTCTAGCACTCTCCCGCCCCGGCTCTGCTCCCACGGTGGAGTCTACCTTTTCCTGAATCTGAACGACTTTACCTGCAAAAAACTTTGCAAAATCATTGCAGGAGATCATATGGCCCGTACTGTGCCCCGATGGAGCAGGTGGTTCCGCTAAATTGCAAACCACCTGAAAAAGTCTCCTGCTGCTGTTTTCTGCAGATGCAATAGAGGCGGTGAAGAAAGTATTCTTCGCCGTTGCTATCGCCACTTGGTAGACTTGATACTGAGCTCTAACCCATGTCCGGTCAGCTTCAGAATGAGTTATCCGCCACTGGCACTCTAGTCGTCTCAGCGATTGTTTCATTGCCCTCAGATCCGTGGAAAACCACGGGGCTGTCCAGGCTCCATGCAATTGGAGAGGGCACTTCGGAGCCAAACAGTCAATAGCCCCAGTTAACTCCACATACCAGCGGGCCACCAGGGAATCAGCTGAAAGGCCATCAACATGGGATAAAGCATCCCCTACCACTCTTTGGAAGCCATTTGGATCCATTAAGTGGTGGGGGCAGAACATCTGATTCAGTCCCACTTCTCCGCAGAGGGGAAGGGTTGCGGAGAAGTCCAGTTGCACTAGGAAGTGATCTGACCATGGCACTTCATTAGTTTCACTTTGACTTAGTGTCAGATCACCAACATCCATAGAGGTGAACACCAGGTCTAAGGTATGTCCGCGGCTATAAGTTGGGCCAGACTTATTCAGGGACAGCCCCATAGAGGCCATGCTTTCCACGAAGTCCTGAGTGGCCCCTTGTAAGGTCATGTCAGCATGGATGTTAAAATCCCCTAGGACAACCAAACTAGGTGTCTCCAGGAGAACATCTGCCATGACCTGAAGCAGCTCGGGCAGGGAATCCTTGGTGCAGCAGGGAGGTCAGTACACCAAAAGGAATCCTGTACTGCCCCTATTGCCCAACTTCCAGTACATGCACTCAGAGAACTAGGTCTTCCCAATAGGATGCCTGGTGCAAATTAATGACTTCCTAAAAATCACTGCAAACCGCCCCTCCCCACCCACAAGGCCTGTTACACAAGCCAGGTCAAGTCCTCCATCCATGATCAAGTCATGGATGGCAGTGGTCTTATGCTTCATTGACCAGGCATTGCACAGCACCACCTTCAGGTCAAGTGGGTATCCCTGCTGATTCCAGTATCAATCTGGACAAGACCAGACCCGGAGGCAGGGATAGTCCTCAAATAACGACTAAACCTGCCTCCTCAGTAATGACTACAAGCTCTCATGTAATAATTGCTGCTCACTTTAATGTCAGAATATGACAAGGCTTAGGCTTTGGGGTGTCTACGTTTATGGTTTCCTCAAGTACAAAGAGTTTTGTAAAGTTCAGTCATTAGTAATGATGGGATATTCCTTAAAGGAAAGAACAACGCAAAGTGTGGGATTCTGCTTGGGAGCATCTGCACTAGCAAACCAGCTGTGCAAAATCCTCTGTATTCAAACACCACTGGGTGGCAGCTGGGACGGGGTGGGAGCTACAGCTAAAGAAAAGGGCAGAAGCCCAAGTGAAGCTCCAAAGACATGCTTTCACAGCAACTCCAACCTATCACCAAATCTGCACACAGATCCCAGAAAACATCGCCCCACCCAACACATGGCCTATCAAGCACTCCCACACACAGCTTTTATGCCCCCATGTGACACTGCAATCAAACACACGTGGCACCCTTGCTGTAGTGTTCATGGCCCTCCACTGCCACTCCCCCCACATCATCTTCCTCTGCACGCACACAGCAGCCACCCCAGGAAACTATGACATCACAGAAAGGTCATTTGAAGGAAGGAAGGAAGGAAGGAAGGAAGGAAGGAAGGAAGGAAGGAAGGAAGGAAGGAGTCCAAAGAGGACCAATAGCACAGAGTGCTGTTTGGAGTTCGGAGGCACTAGGCCTCTGCGAAGTGCACCCAGCCACAGGGGCGCTCGCCCGGCCCGCGCAGGGGCGCAGCTGCCTAGGCCTGGTTCCTGGTTGGACGAAGGGCCTTTTTCGGCAGCGCCTGGTGCTGCGCCGAAGCGTGGGGTGCCTCTGGCCCTGCTGGGCCTTCTTAGGCTTTCCCGAGCCCCCCAGCCCCCCCCCCCGCCGTTTTCTGAGGCCGGATTCGGCCTTCTTTTGTCCTCGGCGGCCCTCCCTGCGAAGCGGGGAGGCCTGTTGTCTGGCGGGGCTGCAGGGAGGCAGACGCAGCCTAACTTGGGCCTGGGTGCAGGCCCGTTGTGTTCAGCCGCCTTTCCCTGCTCCGTTTTGGCGGGAACACCATTTTCCGGGCTTCAATTGCTCACGCAGGCCATCTAGTGGCCGTTCTGAGCCACTGCAGCCTGTTTTATTATTGCTTTATTTAGGCTCATAATTGCTGCCATCTGGTGGCCGTTCTGAGCATTGCTGCCTCCCTAAAGAAATACTTTAGACTATTAACTGCTGGCACTTTGTGGACATTCTGTGCATTGCAGCCTGTTGTTTTATTTTAGTACAGAGAAGCTAATTTGCTGCCAGCTAGTGGCCAATAAAGGAAAAGGCACCTTCTGGTTAATTGGATGCTCCTTAATTAAGTAGCTTACTGTTTTATTTTGGTTCATTTTTTGATCGCCAGGTATCTGGGGTGCATTAACTTCTTTTCTCGTGTTGATATTTCTTTTTCTTGGTAGCCATCATGTCTCCGAAGAGAGTCCCAGCGCAGCCTGCCTTGACCGTTCTGCCTAAAAGGACCATTCGGGGACCTTCTCAGTTGCTTCGATCCCCCTCGACTGGCCAAGCCTCAGGGCGTCTGCAATCTTTGGTTTCGAGCCTGGCAGGTGATCCAGCTGCTTTGGCTCACTTTGCTTCTGAAGTAGATGGCCTGATCCAATGCTGTAGCGCTGGGCCTAGCCAGCAACCAGCGGTGACCACTGCGGCTGCAGTTTCTTCACCTTCTGATTCTGCATCTAGCGATGAAAATGATCTGCCCATGTCTGGTGTTTTGTTTTCTGATTCTCAGTTTTCTTGGAATGCGGGCTCAGCCCCTGCATCTAGTCACACGTCACACGCGGGAGGGCAGAACCCCTTCTCGGCGCACAACCGGGAGGGGGCGACGGGGAAAGGCCCCTTCTAGGCATGGGGGGTCTTCTAGGCCAGGGTCAGCTTTGCAACCCTTACCTAGTACCTCCGTGGGTTCTGATCAGTCACCTGCCACCTCTTCTCAGTCTGTCCCAGGCGCTGCACTTCAGGGTCCAGCATCAGAGTCTTCTGAGGAGGACAGCCTACCCGTGCCTGCCAAGTCCTCTTCGGGCGGCACACGCCGCCGCAAGAAGTCTTCCGGAAAGTGTGCGAAGAGAAGGCAGAGGGACACCTCCTCTTCATCGACAGGTACATCTTCGCAGAGTTCAGAGTCTGAGTCAGAGGCCTCCTCAGAATTTTATTGGGGTCTGGGAGAATCGGCCTCTGGTTTCCCCAAATGGATTTGGGAGCGGAAGGCCAATTCCCATCGAGCAAAATATGGGGCCACTCAGGAATACTTAAATGGGGTGTTGTTACCTGATATTAAGAAGTCGACTAATTCGGCTAGGGATGTGATCCCAGGGTGTCACCTTTCAAAGAAGTTGAGAACTAGGATATTGAATGGTCGCTATGTCGACATGTTCAAACTGAGCCCTCCAGTAGACAGTTCGCAGGCCCAAGAGAAGTCAGTTCTATCCTCTAAGAAACGGGCTGCTGATTCTAAAGTGGATAGAACCTTCGAGCACTGGTTGGATTGTTTCCAGGTTTTTGCCAGGATCGTTTCAGCATGTTATCCCAAGAGAGCAGTTCATTTAATTGTCTACCAGTCTATCATACGTAAGGCGTTCGAAATGGCTGCCTTTGATTATGATGAAAGGCAGAATGCTGCCTTTGATTATGATGAGAATTTCAGAAGAAGGGCAGCAAAAATTCCCACAGCCCAATGGGATCGGAGGGATTTGGATGTATGGACCACTTATGTGGCCCCTCAGTTTGAAAAGAAGACCCCTGAACCTCAAAAGCCAAAAACAAGAGGTTTTAAAAAGCACTTGCATTGCTGGGATTACAGTAAAGGCTCTTGCCAGCGACAACCATGTAGGTTTCCTCATGTCTGCGAAAAATGTGGTGGCAACCACCCGGGCTCCACTTGCTTTGGCAGCCGCCGGCCCTTTCGTGGGGGAAAGGGGGGGTCACAAGCTGCAAAAGCGGCCCCCCCTCAAGCAGCAGCTGGCGCTTCTAAGTAAGGCGGATATGGTTTTAGCTTATACGCCGGTACGGCTTCCAGAATTGGTTCATTGGTTGCAGTTTTACCCTAACCGTGAGGCAGCTGCTTATTTACAGGAGGGCTTTTCTTCTGGTTTTAGGATTCCGGTAGCTACGGTCCCCGTAGCACGGAATCCGGTTAATCAGCAGTCAGTTAGGGAAAGGCATGAAGTGGCACGTAAAAAGATTGAGAAAGAAATTGCCTTACGTCGTATGGCAGGCCCCTTCCTGGCTCTTCCTTTCGCTAATCTGCATCTCTCCCCCTTGGGAACTGTTCCGAAGAAAGCCCCCGGGGAATTTCGCCTTATTCATAACTTATCACACCCCAGGGGTTCGTCAGTAAATGACGCTATCCCCCCGGAGCTTTCTCGGTAAAATACGCTACTCTTGATCATGTGATCAAGATGATCAGAAAATTTGGGACAGGTGCCCTGCTGGCGAAATGCGACATTGAGTCTGCTTTTTGTTTGTTGCCAATTAATCCTCAGGATTTCTGGCTTTTAGGGTTCCAGTTTGAAGGGGCATTTTATTTTGACAAAGCCATGCCCATGGGCTGCTCAATTTCATGCGCAGCTTTTGAGTGCTTTAGTACTTTTCTCGACTGGGCCTTGCGTTTTAAAACCGGCCTGGATGGGGTGACCCATTTTTTGGATGACTTTTTACTGGCCTCGGCGAGGGACACGGGTGACTGCCTGGCCCTGCTTCAGGCTTTCGCATCTCTTACGGAAGAGTTGGGTGTCCCATTGGCATCGGATAAAACCAAGGGACCTTCCACTCAATTGACTTATTTAGGTCTCCAATTGGATACAGTTGCATCTACATCTCGCTTACCTGCGGACAAATTGGTTAATTTGCGAAGGATAATAGAGGAGTTGCTCCCATTATGTAAGGTGACATTGCGTCAGTTGCAGTCCTTATTAGGCCACCTTAATTTTGCATGCAGGGTGGTGGCTCCCGGTCGCCCATTCTGTGCGCGCCTGGCCAGGCTTATGGCCGGCTTGCGTGCTCCTCATCATTGGGTGCGGCTGTCACCTGGTGTAAAGGCGGATTTGCAGTTATGGCTTGAATTCTTGAATGAATTCTTTTTTTTTTTTTAATATAAATTTTATTTTATAATACCATACAAACAAAAAAGACAAACACAACACATTCACACCAAAAAAAAAATATACATACATATACATACTCCTGACATAAGACAACAACAAATTAACTACATTAACTACTTAACACACAACACTGACTGACTTCCCTTCATCTCGGTTTCGGAATGTGTTATAAAATTTTCTATCTGCAGTTTCTTTTCCTCAAAAAAATTCTTTACATCACAAGTGTTATATCACACCTACTGTGTTTTTTAGTTTTTTTTACCTCTGTTTCCATGTATGCCATGAATTTATTCCAATCTTTATTAAACTTTGTGTCTTTTTGATTTCTTATTTTCTGTGTCATTTTTGCCAATTCTAGATAGTCGAGTAGTTTCGATTGCCATTCATTTATGGTTGGGATTCTTGGTGTCTTCCAATTCTGCGCTATTAGAGTTCTGGCAGCCACTGTCGCGTACTGAAAGAGTGTTTGATCTTCCTTTTGATTTCCTCTCCAATTATCCCCAGCAAAAAGGCTTCAGGTCTCTTTATAAAGGTATATTTAAAGATTTTTTTAGTTCATTGTAAATAGATTCCCAAAATTTTCTAATAGGCTCGCACAACCACCACATATGATAAAAATCGCCCTCCTTAATCTTGCACTTCCAGCATAATTTATGACCAGTTTTATATATTTTTCCCAGTTTTACGGGCGTTACGTACCACCTGTACATCATTTTGTACATATTTTCCCTGAGTGTTGTGCATGCCGAGAATCTCATACCTTTATTCCATAGTGCCTGCCATTTATCAAACTCTATGTTATACCCAAAGTCCATTGCCCATCTCACCATTACCTCCTTTACTTCTTCATCTTTGGTGTCCCATTCGAGCAACAGGCTATACATTTTCGATAGGAGTTTTGTTTTACTTTCTAATATTTCAATCTGGAATCTAGATTTTTCTCACTTATCCCATTTTTTTATCCTCGGTCCAGATAGAGTTGATTTGATGAAATTGGATCCAACCTGTCAATTTGTTCTTTATTTCTTCATATGGCCTAATCCTCCAACCGGTCTCTGTTTTTACTAATAAATCTTCGTAGGTCCATCTTTCTCCTTCGATATTTGTTTTTTTATTGTCAGGATATCGATTGGCGAAAGCCACCAAGGGGTATTCTGTTCCAATAATTTTTATTTCTTTCCCACACCTCCAGTAATGGCCCTCTGAAGATATGGTTAGAAAATCCTTTATGGATCTTTCCCTTATTACGCCATAGGTAAGCGTGCCAACCGAATCTTAAATCAAATCCTTCTAAATCTAGCAGATCTTTATTTTTATAATAATCCAATCCTTGACCCAACAGAGGCATGAGGCTTCATAATATAACTTTAAATTTGGGACTGCGAATCCTCCTCTATCTCTTTGGTCTGTGAGTAATTTGAATCTGATTCTCGGCCTTTTCCTTGCCAGATGAATTTAGAAAGTATTTTCTGCCAGCCCTTGAATATTGATGTTCCCCTGATTATTGGTATATTCTGAAATAAGAATAGCAGTTTCGGTAATAGACTCATTTTTATTGCCGCCATTCTCCCCGACCAGGATAGCTTTATTCTATTCCAGGTATCTAAGTCCTTCCTTATTTCTTTCCATGCGGTTGTATAATTGTCTTCCATCAAATTAATGTTCTTTGTCGTTAACCAGATTCCAAGGTATTTTACTTTTTTGGTTACTTTAATTCCAGTCTGAGATTCAAGGTGATTTTTTACCTTCTCTTCTACATTTTTAATCAACATTTTAGTTTTTGTTCTGTTTAGTTTAAAACCGGATAGTTTTCCGAATTCTTCTAACAGATCTAACACCTTACTGACACTCTCTTCTGGATCCTCCAAAGACAACATAAGGTCGTCAGCATAAGCTTTCAATTTGTATTCTTTCACTCCTATTTTTATTCCGCGTATCTCTGAAGTTTTTCTTATCTTATTTGTAATTATCTCTAACATCATAATAAACAGAAGAGGTGACAGAGGGCACCCCTGCCTAGTACCCTTCGAGATTTCAAAGGGTTCTGTTAAGTTATTATTAATAATTAGTTTAGCACTTTGCTGTGAGTAAATTGCTTTTATTCCTTCCAGGAATGTGCCCTCTATCCCTGTCATTTCCAAACATTTTATAAGAAAACGCCAGGATACGTTATCGAATGCCTTTTCGGCATCAATAAACAGTAAAGCTGCAGGGATTTCGTTTTTGCATTCTAAGTACTCAATGATATTTATTGTATGTCTTATGTTGTCTTTTATTTGCCTATTGGGTAAAAAACCAGCCTGGTCGGTATGGATAAGATTAACTAGGAATTCTTGAATGAATTCAATGGGGTGTCATTATGGCAGGACACTTTGAACCTCCATAATGACTTCCAAGTGCATTCTGATGCAGCAGGCTCTCTGGGTTTTGGGCTATACTGGAAAGGTCGTTTGTGCGCATTGCCCTGGCCGCCATCGTGGCGAGGGGAGCCTATTACGCGGGACTTAACTTTTCTTGAGTTCTTTCCCATTGCAGTGGCAGTGCACCTGTGGGTCAAGGAATTCAAGGACCATCGAGTCTGTTTCTGGTCCGATAACCAGGCCGTTGTGAACGTGTTGGCAAAACAGTCGTCCCGTTCAGCCAGGGTATCGGCCCTTCTCAGGGCTTTTGTTTTGCATTGCCTGCGCTTTAACATTGTGTTTTCAGCTCGATTCATCCCTGGCGTTTCTAACGAAATCGCTGATGCTCTGTCCTGTTTTCAGATAGAGCGGTTCAGGTCCCTTGCTCCAGTGGCGAATCTGCTGCCAGAAAATTTTCCGGATCATCTCTGGAACCTTGGCAGCAATTAGTCTTACAGGGAGTAGCCGCGTCCATTTCACCTTCCACTCTGCGCTCATATAATCGAGCTTGGACTGACTTTTTAAAATTTTGTCGTCAGTCTTTGTCTATGGAGATTGTGTCATCTCCTTCTACTTCACAGGTGCTGCAGTATTTGGTGCACCTTTTCCAATTGGGTCGAGCGGCCAGAAAGCTCAGGATCCAAGCAGCGGCCATCTCCTTTTTCTTTAAAGCCTTCTTTAATAAGGATCCTTGCGCCAAATTTGTTGTGCGCAGGGCTCTGGAAGGTTGGGGGAGGCTTGGAACTCGACCCCCTTTGGTAAGAAAGCCTATAACTTTTGATTTGCTTACCAGCATGCGCTCGAAGTTGAGGAGCGTCTGCTGGTCCAGATATGAAGCGCTGCTTTTTTCAGCCGCCTTTTCTTTGGCCTTTTTTGGTGCCCTGAGGGTAGGTGAGGTGGTATTGGAGGTCATCCGGGGCAGAGAGTCTAGGGGTTTGCTTTTGCAGGACGTAACTCTATCCCCTTCAGAGGTGGTCCTATCTATCCGGAATTCAAAGACAGACCAGTTAGGCAGGGGTGCTACTCTTAGGCTCCCCGCCCGGGTAAGCCCAGTTAAGGATACCTCCAAATATTTGAATCTTAGGCCTCGGGGGGAGGGTCCCTTCTTTATTCACGAGAATGGTGCCCCATTGGACAGGCATCAATTTGCCAAGGTAATGCGCAAAGTGATTGCAGCTTGCGGTTTGACGGCAGCAGATTACGCCCCTCATTCTTTCCGCATTGGTGCTGCCACTTCGGCAGCTCATTGGGGGTTGTCTGTAGAAAGAATTAAGAACATGGGTCGTTGGAAGTCTAATGCGTTTCACGGCTATGTGCATAGCCGTCGTTGATTGCTTGTACTTACATTTGCTTGTCTTTCTTAGGTGTGGCGGCTGTTCGCATTTGGATGGTGGGCCACAGCATTGTCCACTGGGCCAGCATCAGAGCGAGGGAGTCTGGACTTGGACCCAGTCTTGGCCTGCCTCATCACGTGCAGGTGTCCTGGCTGACCAGACGTGGAATGCTGTGGGCCGAATTGCTTCCCCTTGTTTGGAAGCACGTGAGGTTGGAAGGGCCCCCTTCAGCTATCGTGCTCCAGTTGGGGGAAAACGATCTGCCTGCCACAGACTGTTGTTCTTTACGCTTTACAATTCAAAGGGACTTAGTTGAATTGGCAGAGTTTTTACTGGGTGTGAAAGTTTTTTGGTCCCAGTTGCTGCAGAGGCGCACCTGGCGTGGCAGTCGCTGTCCAGCTGCCACTGAAGGAGCCAGAAAGCGTGTTAATAAGGTGGCAATGAAAACAGTCATTGCTCATGGTGGTTCCGTGATTGCGCACCCCAATATCACCTTCAAGGAGGCCGTCCTTTTCAGGGACGATGGTGTGCATCTTTCCCCGTTGGGAAATGACACATGGTTAAATTCTGTTGTGTTGGGTTTGAAGGTGGGGTTGCAGTTGTGAGTGGTTGGCGGCGAGCTTGAGTGCTCGGTGGCGGCTAGGCATTGGTTTATGGTTTGGTTGGTTGAGGGGCATGGATTGGCTGTGCCTGCCCCTCTAATGCTGCTGCTGCAAGGGATTCCGTTAAAGGAATTGGGAGCTAACTCTTGCTTGTCCACTCTGTCAAGGGGGCTCGGGCCATAGCAATGAGCTCCTGGTTGCATTTGGGGTGAGGGCAGGTTCCCTGCTCCGCGTAACCCCCAAGTGTATTCCCCCATTCTGACTTTCGCATCGTGCGGAATGTCAGTCTGTCCCCATGGTGGGGGCAGATAGTCGCAACCAATGCCTACGCAACCACTCACAAATTTGTATTTTAATAAAGTTGTGGCCAAAATTATGCCAAAAATCTTAAACAAAAACTTCTGTGTGATGTGTGAGTTATTGGGGTGGCCCTGGGGACCTCGACACGCAATAGATCTAAATCATAAAAGCATCTCTTTTTGCCTCAATTCAATTAAAGCAAAATTGTCTGCCAATAGTTCCTGAGATGCTATAGCTGCCGCCAGTTGAATCCAGGGGGGAGGAGTATAAAAGTTTGAATGCTTTTTCTTGAAAAAGAAAGTTTTCAAAGTTCTTATCCCCCTGTCCCCCTCCTTTTATTTCCGATGGCAGAGTTTCTTTGTTTCCTTCAGTGCTTCAGCCACCTGGTTCCTATGCAGGATATTCACCAATTCCAGAGAAGACTCCCTTTTTGTTCTCCTGGAAGTTTGCCAAATTAATCCAAATGCTAAAGACACTTGAATAATAAATCCCTTTTTCCTTGGTTTTATTTTCTGGGAAATCTGCTGCTCACTGAGTAGGAAATTTGAGGCAGCTTGTTGCTGGAAAACACTGGAGCCCAGAGATGACAGCTTGACAGCCAGGTTAGGCCAGCACCAAATGGAACCTCAGACCCGTTGGGTACTCGCTTTTGACCTCCACAGGAACCCTCAGAGTTCTGGTCATCCCCAAGACCTTTTTGGGGTGCTCATTGCCTACGGGCTGCCACCAAACCCCAAAAAGCAGCAGCCGGTTGGCTGAACCTGGCTTCCTTTCCCCCTCAGGGCAAACCAAGAAATTCTTTCCCCCCCTTCAGTTCCTAAAAATCTGGAGGACAGCTTCTGAAGTTTCTTCATCTGAGATATTTGAATAGATGTGTCAGGAATTTTAAAGCCAATTACATTATCATTTATGAGTTGCTTCTCATTATAATCCCAGATGTGAAGCATTCTTCGTAGTCCATAACAAAAATAAAGGCAGGATGGTTGGGGCAAAATAATTATCCACTCCTCACCTTTCTTTTCATGTTTGTTTCATCTTTTATTTTTTTAGCCCACCAGCCCTATTTTTACACAAAACATTTGTGAAGCATACAGGACCATTGGAAAGACAAGTAAGTTAAATACCTTGGTTAATCAAGAGATCTCAGGCAATATACATTTTAATACTATAGAATGATCTTTTAAAAAGAATATCTATTTACTGCTCACTAATGGATTTTATAGGGACATGGGTGGCGCTGTGGGTTAAACCACAGAGCCTAGGACTTGCTGATCAGAAGGTCGGCAGTTCGATTCCCCGTGAAGGGGTGAGCTCCTGTTGCTCGGTCCCTGCTCCTGCCAACCTAGCAATTTGAAAGCACGTCAAAGTACAAGTAGATAAATAGGTACCGCTCCAGTGGGAAGGTAAACTGCGTTTCTGTGCGCTGCTCTGGTTCGCCAGAAGCGGCTTAGTCATGCTGGCCACATGTCCTGGAAGCTGTCTGCGGACAAACGCCAGCTCCCTCGGCCAATAAAGTGAGATGAGAGCCGCAATCCCAGAGTCGGTCACGACTGGACCTAATGGTCAAGGGTCCCTTTACCTTTACTTAATAGATTTTATTCCATGTCCACTTATCTGCAAAAGCTGTGCTACCTGCCTCAGTACTGAGTCAACATGCCCTTGCTTAGTTTTCTAGTAGATTTGACAGAAAGCTATAATCGATAAATGTGGGAGCAACCCTAACATTGAGGGGAACTGAACAGGAAACATACCATATTCTGCAGTCTATTGTTTTTGGGTTTTTTTTAAAGTAATTTTTATTAAAGTTTTAAACAACAAAGAAATAAAAGAAAAACATGCACAATACATCTAACAAAAACACAAAAAAACAAAAAAACAAAAGCAAAATTCAACAATAAAAATACAAGAAACATAACAATTTTAAAAAAAACAATATCTCTGTTTCATTTCCGATTTTTAGTTGCTTATTTTCTGGACTTCCTCATACCTCCCTCTTTTGTATTCCAATCCAAATTAATTGTCCAGCAGTTTCTTTTCCACTTTTTTAATCCCAATCTTTAATTTAATTAGATATTAAAATATATAACTTCAACTTCTTAAAACCTAGTCCTTGGTCTTAATATCATATGCCATTAAAATTTTCCCTCTTAATATCAAATTTCCATTTCTTTGAACATCTTTAATCTTAATCTTAATCTTTAATCTTAGTCTATCATTAACTTTAACCTGTACAGCTGGAAACCTCTTGTTTTCAGTCCAACATCACTCTAACATTCCTCATATTCTGCAGTCTATTGTACACAACTTATGACTGATTGCAAAGAGCTGAGAAGAGCTGACTGAATATCTTGTACAGTGGTACCTCAGGTTAAGTACTTAATTGGTTCCGGAAGTCTGTACTTAACCTGAAGTGTTCTTAACCTGAAGCAGACTTTCCCATTGAAAGTAATGGAAAGTGGATTGATCCGTTCCAGATGATGGATTTTAGTATTTTAGATGAAAAAAATTAAAATTTATTTCCAAACTCACTGTTTGGAGGGGGCTCAGGGTCCTCTTCCACAATCACAATCAGCTTGGCTTCCAGCATTTGTGGAGGCCTCAGAGAGCTCCTGCGGCTGGAGCCCAGTCGCAGAGCCTCTGCAGCCACCATGGATGTCGGGGCTTGGCTTCCGGCATTTGTGGAGTTCTGCAGGAACTGTGGATGTCAGGGCTTGGCTCCTGGCATTCGCAGAGCTGCTCTAGGCACTGCATGTCGGGGCTTGATTCCCCCCATTCACGGAGCCGCTCTTCGCATCACAGATGTCGGGGCTTGGTTCCCTGCATTCACGGAGGCCTCTGAGAGCTCCGTAGGCCCCGCCGATGTCTGGGTTTGCCTCCGAGAGGCAAGTCCTCCGAGAGCTTGGACAACTTACTTCCAGGTTACAATCGTTCGTAACCCGAAGAAACGTAAGTTGAAGCGCTCGTAACCCGAGGTACCACTGTATCTCTTTTCCCAAGCACTCATATTATTTAACTCTTCCTCTCTTCCTATTTATTGCAATTGCTAAACCCTGAGAATGTCAACTAACTTCAGATTTGATATGGTGTCGCTCTCCTTCAGAATCTTCTTCCATTTCATACACAGGGCTGACAAAATGGCTGTATGAGAAAACTCAATGTATGGTGCGTCCCATTTACGGAGGGTTTCCAGTGAAATTGAGGACATTTATTGGAGAACCCATCCCATATGATCCAAATATAACAGCTGTAGAGCTGGCTAAAAGAGTAAGTTAACTCTAAACTTGGAAGTTTAAAAGCAGAATATTTCTTTTCCTCTTGGTTTTTCTCTCTTTCAGCTCTAAATCTTATTGTACATATTGATTTCCTCATTCTATATGACCTGATATAGGGTTCATTATATATACTTTTGTGCATTATGCCCATCACTCAATTTTCCCTCTCCTTAACTTGTTGAGACTAATTACCGTATTTTTTGCTCTATAAGACTCACTTTTTCCCTCCTAAAAAGTAAGGGGAAATGTGAGTGCGTCTTATGGAGCGAATGCAGGCTGCGCAGCTATCCCAGAAGCCAGAACAGCAAGAGGGATTGCTGCTTTCACTGCGCAGCGATCCCTCTTGCTGTTCTGGCTTCTGAGATTCAGAATATTTTTTTTCTTGTTTTCCTCCTCCAAAAACTGGGAGCGTCTTGTGGTCTGGTGCGTCTTATAGAGCGAAAAATACGGTAAATGGGGGGAAAACTATGCGGTACAAAGAGAGATCTGCTCATGCAATGGGACTTCTTCTTCCCACTATATTAGGGTTGAGCATACAAAATACATTCTGGAGGTTTATATCAATAATCAAATAATAGATCTTATTCTAATTGCTCCTGATGAAAATTTTGGTCAATTGCATAAAAAGTTGTTGAGCTGAGCTTCTTTGGGGCCATTGGTCAGAAAGTTGAGATTTTTTGGGGGGGAGGTTGCCCTCTCCCCACCCCAGCTGCCCACATGCGCAAAACAGAACCAGAGCCACTCACGTAGGAGCCCGAAACAGCTCACACACAAATTTACCCCCCCAACTCGGATATTTCCTTAAAATTGAAAAAAGAAACCCCCCAGATGGCGCCAGAAGGACACGTCTGGGATTTCCCAAACATATGGCAACCCTACACTATGGGCCCCAGAATCTGCCTCAGAAGGTACCTCCATGCCACCCTAGTGCTAATTTTTGAAGAGGAAGACAATTTATTGTAAACGTTGATATGTATTCCATGTACACACTGATGCGTGTTTAAGAGAGCATTGGATACAGCGTTGTTAAACAGTGCCATGATTCCTGCCCAACTACCAAGCTATCAAATCTGAACCTGCAACACATATATTGTAATTTGTTATTACTCGTGCATCAGCAAGCTCCTAAATGAGATGCCGTTTCACTGAAGACAAGGTCAAACACAGATACCATTTGTATGGTATTACATTGCATGACTTATTCCACCTGCTCCTGCAGGGGATGTTACACTTCCCCCCTTTCTCCAGGAAAACATGGGAATCTGAATCCCAAAGGGAGGGGGCTAAGGGGAGGAGCATGTAGGGTCCTGGTGGCTGATGGGAACGGGGTTGGAACATTGTTTAGTATGCCTGGTCCTTCTCCAAGCACTTTCTCCTTGTTTTCTTGCTGCATCAAGTTTCAGGTTTTGATTGCCTGTTTAAAGGGGCAGATAAGAAATTTCTTTCTGCAAGGGGTTATGCCTTGGTTGTCCTGAGGTTCGCTCCTTTTATCCTACATTGTAACAACCATGCAAGGTAACTACTGTGTACAAAGCAGGCCAAGGCACATATGTTTGATTGTTTCTTTGCCATTCTCATACAGTGCTCTTGGTAAACATAAAGAGAGTGGGCTGGATTCACTGAGAGATGAGCAGTTTCCTAGTGGGGGGTTCCTCACCCAAGCTGCTCTGGCCCAAACCTCCATGTTGAAGAAGCCACTTTTGAGGGTTGAGAGACAAGGACTGGCTTCTATAGCTGGAATAAATGGGTTGCCTCTGGTTCTGATCCCTTTAGCTTTTCCCTCACTCATATTAATAACAGTGAACACCTATTTTGCAATCTATTCCTATAACACAATGTATTCCTCTGGTTTTCTTTCAACAGGCGAAGATTGCACTTGAAAATCTTCGGGATAAACACCAAAAAAGGCCAGGAAATATATTAGGAGCTCTTTCAGAATGATTTGATAAGCATTACAAAGCTAACTAGTCCATATAAAACAGTTGCAGTGTTTCTGACGAGGTGTCTGTAATAGGAAGTGTTAATAATTATGTTATTAAAGCTAAGTTGATATACACAGTATTTTGCTGGATTGTATATGAATTATTTGGGAGGGTCCCTAGCTCAGTAGCTCAGCACCTGCTGTGTGTGCAGAAGGTCCTACGTTTTTGAAGACGTACAAGTGCTTTCCTGCCCTATCCTGCAATACACCCAGTATTCCCCTTTTTGGGGAACTTGCACTAGTAGAGGCAGAATCGAAGAGTATAACAGGAAGGCGAGTGTTTAACTAAACATGAAATAATATTACATGTGAAAGAGTACTGTCTATAAATCACCTGTATTAAAACAGTGGCACTTCTTTTATGTTTATTAAAGGGTGCTCCAAGATTTAAGCGCTATATTGCAAATCCTTTTAAACCTATAGCAAGAAAAGTAGAGAAAACAAGAATACATCTAACGAAAACAGCCAACTCAGCTATGAATCTGGGTCTGGTGCCCGCCCCGCAGTAGCACCGTTCCCCCCCCCATTGAACACCCTCTTATCAGATGTCAAATAGATAAACAACTACACAACTTTCTGAAGACATCTGAAGGCCACCCTGCACCAGGAAGTTTTTAATTGATGATGTGTTGCTGTGGTTTTTTATGTTCTAACCTGCCCAGAGTGATTGGAACAACTAGGCTTTTATACACACATACACAGAGAGAGGCAATCTTCTTGATCTTTTAGCTCCTGAAAGACTCAAGTTCCCATCTTAGCTGATTTCTTTCTTCCATAGCCTCAGTTATGAATACTAGAGTAGGCTGATCAGGAGTCAAGAATTTTGGGGGCATTTGTTTCTGAAGATGATGTATGGCCCTGTGAACAAAGGCCAAGCTTTAGATCTGAAAATCACTGGGTGTGTAATTATAGAGCTGGGAGGTAGATATTCTTGATGATGCCTCACAGTATTATGGTCATTTGCATGGTGCCATGGACATAGATTGTGCCATGGAAATACCATATTTTTCACTCCATAACAAGCACCTTTTTACTCCTAAAAAGTAAGGGGAAATGTCTGTGCGTTTAATGGAGCGAAAGCACTGGAATGGAACAGGGATGCCTCGACTGTGGCTGCAGTCAAGAGCTGAGGGATGCCTCTGAAGGGAAGGGGAAGCAAAGTGAGAGCTGCGCAAAGCGAAACAGAAGCCATGTAAGCAGCTCTTGCTTTGCTTGTGTTAAAGCAAGAAAATCGAGATCCACTTACACGCTCTGTGCATAATATTTTTCTTCTTTTTTTCCTCCTCTAAAAACTAGGTGTGTCTTATGGTCAGGTACATCTTATGGAGCGAAAAATACAGTAAAAATTTGGTCACAGTATGCTTCTTAATCTTTAAATGGCTTATTTAATTTATTTAGATTCACATCCTGCTTTTTGACAAAATTCCTCAAAGTGACTAGTTCCTTTTACTAAAATAATGATGCGAGAATAATGGAAGCTGCAGAAATATATACAGAAAATATTCAAATAAGCAGTTATGGGAAATCAATCATACTTGCTGCAATTTTTGTGTGGTATTCATTCAGAAGTGGCTCCATTCTTGTAATCCTGATAGCATCATTGATTGAAGTTCTCAAGTGAGAGTTTCAACAATGCAGGGTGGATATCACCTTACTGGGGTGTACCAGCCCATTTCAAAACCACGCCAGCATAGTTGGAGGTGTGGGTGTACCTAGCAATTAAGGAGGTACAGCAACTGCAGGACACATCTTCTTACATGACACTGCATTGCACAATGATGGGTGACAGCAGTGTCAGAGTGTGAAGGGGTACTGCTGCTCAACAGGAGGTAGAGGGGGAAAGGCAAGTTGGAAAGGCACAGTGCGGTCAGCATGGTATAAACAAACAAGCAGGATCAGTGGAGTGGCTCCATTGATGTGTTTAAATCACACCCACCATCCATTGATGTGTTTAAATCACACCCACCTTGCCACTATCTTCCCCACTGCAATACACTGGTTTGTTCCCCCAACAAAACCCTCAGCTATTGGATTACAAAAAAAATAACCCCTTGCCCCAATCATATATCTCAATACCCGGAATGATTTATCCCAGTTGTAAAATTTTGAAGCAGTTATTTCCCATATTCTTTCTGCTGTCTTCACTACCATCTTACCTCCATATTGGAGAAGCAGCTGGATTCTCCTGAATAGCCTGTGCCAAGGAAAGGAAGGAACAGCAAAATGATAAAAAGATAACAGAGAATTGATCCTTCTAGTCGTTTGCAATCTCTCATTTTCTTAGTTGCTTCCCTGTCCAAAGCCATTGGTTCTAAAACATCCTGGTGTGTTGAGATAGACTGTAGAGGAAGGGTCCATTTGGCCAGTGGGAGCTGTTGCATTAGGGTAGATGAGCCAAATTCAGGCTGTGCAATTAAAACTGATAAAACGGCAGTCTGCCCTCTGCCAGGCCCTTCCTGTCTGCCTTCACACTTATGACATGGGGATGCCACTGCCTGCCAGTTTCCTCCTCCTCAGTTTCTGTTGCCATTGTAGTACAGTGGTACCTCAGGTTAAGTACTTAATTCTTTCCAGAGGTCTCTACTTAACCTGAAACTGTTCTTAACCTGAAGCACCACTTTAGCTAATGGGGCCTCCTGCTGCTGCTGCGCCGCCAGAGCACAATTTCTGTTCTCATCCTGAAGCAAAGTTCGTAACCTGAAGCACTATTTCTGGGTTAGCGGAGTCTGTAACCTGAAGCGTATGTAACCTGAAGTGTATGTAACTGTAGCCTTTTTGGAGTTCACCGATTGGGTCTGCGTTGCTCCTGGACAGGAGGAAGGAAGTCAAAACGACACCGAGTTGGTTCAAAGAAAGAGTTTATTCTGCTCTCTGGATAGCAGAAGGCACTTGCGTGATTAGTCCCCAGCAAGTCCAAAGAAATGACAGGTTTCATGCAGTTTATATATCCTCCAGGCACCCTCTCACTCCTCCCCTAAGAGCCCAACCACGTCGGCCTACGTACGCAGGTTGACATCACATATGTTCCTGCTCTGGTACTCTCAACCATAAAAGGATCTTCCTTCCTGTACTTCTGACCATAAAAGGATCTTCCTCTTCCTACTCTTATCTGGTGGGCAGAGGTCACCATTTCCGAGAACACACTCTGGCGTTATTCCCAGGTGTGGGTCTGCACGTCTTTGTGGTCAGCACATAAGATAAGGCACACACGCATCATCCCTGCTGTACTGGAACTTGGCAAGGTCACTCATTGCCGCCACGGACTTTTAAGGGAGAGAGCTTTGTTCTTGTTATGGATTTACTCAACGGCTTGAGTTTATGCATTTTAGCTAAGGAAAAATAGGGATTTTGGTGCAGTTTAAAACTGCCTGCACAGTCAGTTTTTGGGTTTTGGAAACCCATTCCTTCATTCCCTACTCTTCTTTTGGACAGCCTTTCGGCTCATCCCAAGGTACTGGCCGGTATTCTCGTGTCAGTGCTGTAATCTGGGGCCGAATCATTCGTAACATCATTTTATGCATCATATTTTGCAAGCATTGCGTTAAGCAGGGTGTACAGGAGCAGAAAAGAAGCAAGATTAGTCCATTAACATCATTACAAGTCCTCTAAGCCACCCAAGGTTTGGAAGCCACTCAGTCAACCAAGACATGTCCCATCCCTTCCTGGTTGGGACAGGAGCATGGGCTACTTTCTCTCTTTCTGTTGCCAGGTGCCGAATAGCTACACCATGGTCAAGGATGTTAAAGCCACAGGCTCCTTCTGTCAAATTTAACGCAGCCCAAAATCCGGCGGAAGCCAAAATCGGGGCTGTAACTGAGGACTCATTCCAAGGCACAGGGAGGGGTACTCCTCCCAAAGCATCTGTAGGTCACAGAGTGTGAGAGGTTTCGGGTGCAGACCGTGCAACTGGTTCGGTTTTGCAGAATAGGCTTCCATTTCTGCGTGTTGCGGGCACCCCATTCTCTCATTAGCCGCTGGGTTACCTTAAGTGGTGGGGCGCGGCGATGGCCAGAAATCAGAAGACTACCATCCCAGCTAAAACCATGTCTCCCCACAGCCCTACCTGCATCATTTGGGCACAGGGATATATCTATTTCCTAATACCTCCTTCTTCTAACACCTGGGGTACCTCCCACAAAGCTATATATTCAAAGGGAAAGAAAAGAAAATGTCCTCTTTTAGTCCACGCTGGATTCTTCTGCCATGCATAGAGATGCCAGCTTCCAGGGGTGGCACCAGCTGATGCGGTGAGGAGAAGCGTGAGGCTGCGTAGATCAGTCGTAGCCGTCCAATCTGATACTGCCTGGGGTTGGCTTCATTCTTCAAATCAGGCCTGCTGGAATATATGCAGTCAGGTGTTGGAGGCCCATCCTCTCCCATAGGTGGTAGCGTAACTGGGTTAAGAGCCGCAGTAACTCGAAGCTGCAACTGTGCGTGTATGAGTAGTATAAGTCAGCTGCTAGGCGCTTCATCATCTCTGCTTGGGATAGAAAAATAAGTTCCTTTCATGTCCAACAATGCTGGCACAGCATGAGGAGTGACGCACGTGGTTTCTTGTCCAAAGGTGAATGTGTCAGTTCTCTTTTAGTCAGAGTAGGCTATGGGTTGGTCATCATCAGGGTCTAACAATTACCTGGATAAAATTACCTTGATAAAAACATTTCGCCATGTGCAAATGGCTTTGGATACCTACTAGGTTCACAAATCACCATATAGCATATATTCAACACACACACAAAAACGACAATTTGAGCCCAACAAAGGACTGCTGGACATCCAAAGGGCCCCATTACCCCATTAATGCCTTCTGTTTCTTCAGCCAATTCCCATCCCTGTACTCTGCTGCCCTCAGGACCAAAGGTGCTACGCCCACTTTATCGCTATATGATCTTATATGCTGAAACACCCTTTTGTACTGCCCTTTTGTCCACCTCACCTCCTTTTCTTAAGTCCTTTCTAA